CCCCAAAACCCCAAAACCCCAAAACCCCAAAACCCCAAAACCCCATGGAGTTATTAAAATACCGTAAGATAATTATTAGATAAATATATTTAATTATGGACTCTACTCAAAAAATCCAATTTGACGAAAACCTCTCAGATGATCTTCTCAATGAGAAGGTCACTACTTGTTGAATCCGGAGTTCAGCAAAGATTCTTATTAATATGAGTCAGAACTCATTAACCAACAAGAAAATTAGAAAAAATTCTTACATGAATGATAACGCATTAGTTCATTTCCAAGAGGGAGAGAAAGAACTTGAAGAGCCACCTCGGCTCGGGTTAAATAAACAAAAGCTTGTCTCATCGGAGAACGAAAGAAGAGTAAAAAATGCTGTGTTCCAAGCTAGTTATAAAAAATCGAGCACATCTCTGAAGCAAGAGATTAGTAACCTCTTAAAATATGCAGCTCAGATAAGAAATAAAAAGATGCTGAAGAGCTGTGATAGCCAGGAAGCTTTCAGAGCATATTCAAAGAACACCGTTGAAGACCTTCCCTTGCACAAACGTATAGTGAGGAAGGATTCAGAGCCCTCCTAGTGGAGTAATTATAAAACTTATCTCTTAAAGTACTTATGACAAGCCATGTTTATTCCTTATACCGTAAATAGTAGAATAACACTTTAAATATTTTAGCAAACAGATATTTAGGAGTAATTTGAGGAAATTTTATGTACACTTCTTGTCAATTTTTCATGGAAAATTATTATTTCATATAAGAACAGTTTATTGTTTGCACCAAAACGTGAGCAGCCCAAGAGGCTGTTTTGGGAATACTGCCACATAGGAATGATGAAAAAATGTCTTTTATGCTGTCTATATTATATGAAGAAATATCTGAAGCGCTTAAAACAGAAAATGATCTGGCTTTACACTCTGAAAGCTGATGAATCTGGCAATTTTTATTATGAAAGTACTCTAATTTCTTTATTATTTTAAAGTTTCATTTGGTAAGTTTATTATGATTAGACGAAGTCACAGGACTGGTATGGAAGGCTCTAATCTCTTTCCTACTACATTTTAAAGCTCAAAATTTTAGGAGAGGAAAAAATTGGAAATATGTGAGTAAGTTAAAAATTTATACAGTTTACTCTCATTTTAATTATCATATTAATCAAGCGAGTTTTTACGAATAAAGATGAGTATAGACAAGGAAAGATTATAGCTAAAAGTTATGGAATGAGCTTGAGAATTCTATTTATTATAATTCTGTAGAACACTCTCCATTACTTCGCCTGATTATATCCATACGACTCTCTCCATATACTACACTTTATCAAAACTTGAGACTATCATTAGTATGTAAATCTTCTCAAAACTGGTATCAACTAAACCACCAGCTTCATCTATCCTTCATTTCTCAGCCCCAATCCTCTCACCCCTCTTTTCCATCATCGCAGCAAGATTCCCTTTGATCTTGCACGCTTTCAACTGCTTTTGTTACTATTTATCCTACATCTCCCATATCATTATTGTATACCCTCTCAACCATAATCCTTATCCCCGGGGTTTTGGGGTTTTGGGGTTTTGGGGTTTTGGGG